ATTTGGGGAAGGGAGGAGGACACAAGAGCAGAGACAGTGGACAGGGTAAGCCTTATGGGTTTTCTGCTTTGTGTGCAGCAAATATTTCTCATTACCTTCAGTAACACTTTCAGGCTTACAGGATTAGCTAACTATCTGTCCAGTCATTTTATTTTGATCTAAGACTCCTTGAATACTTGGTATGCTGAGAATTAAGCAGTTTGCCACATCAGAAAAGAAATTTAATTACTCTTTCCTGCTGCTGTGAGTATGAAATTCAATAATTACAAAAAGAAGGCCATAAAAGCGGTACTTTACAGCAAGCTTCATCCATGTATACTTAACAATTCCTACACAGATCTTATGGATCAACATATCTAAGAATAATCTATCTTAGAAGAAAACAAGTACTGACCAATGCTACAATAAAATTACTGATATATATAACTTCACATTCAAAGTACACTGTATACCATTTCATTTTTGAAAAATAAATAGTGGAATCCACATTGTCTCCTCAACATATCTATACTGTTTATACTGTCCAATACAGTTTATACTCTCCAATACAGTGTGTGTTCATGTGCACGCACATGTGCTCATGCATACATACATACTTACGCACACACACCTATCTCATATAAAAAGAACGATTCTACCCTAATCTCATTTCCACTAGGTCCAATCAAAACTAAACATGAACACTAACTTACCTGTGGACGCAATAAACATATCTCCTGTCCGAGTCCTTGCATAGCGCATACTTAACGCAACGGCAGAGTTTTGTACTGTGAGTGTTACCAGGCTCACATACTTGAGGATGTGCCCTTGGGCTGGAATGAGAGAGATATGCAATTAAATTACAATTTCTGTTATATGTATTCTTTAGTGAAATATACATTTTCTTCATAATTTTAGCTTTAAAAGGACACGCAAAAAGAGACTATCTTCCAAATCTGGTTTTAATCCATAAGAACTGTTCAATATTTCAAGAAAAAAATAAAACGAAAAAATAATATCTTACCATTCTTATCAGAACCCATCCTGGCTTTTTAGTATATCTGTAAGGAAGATAAAATTGAGTTAGAGATGCAAATAATCATAAAGAAGCAATAGAAGTTTTGCGAAATGCTGAAAGTTTATGTTGGCACAAAGAATAGAACTTCATATAACACTCAATGAGATACAGTATAGAAATGAATAAAAGAAAATAAATTATCTTCTAGCACTCTAGTATAAGACTGGCACACTGCCAATACTAATAAATTTAGTTTTGTTGGACTCCTATGATACCTACTGTATTGTTATAGTAGTTTTAGTCTCCAGATAACAGCAATAATAATATTTGCACTGAAAGCTGGAGAGGTTATGTAAAATATCCAAGGAATAACATGGCAAACAAAGAATATATATTAACAGCAAAGAATTTCTTGAGTAGAGGCCCCATCCCAATCCTCCTTGTAGGGAAGTTACATCAGTGTGCCATGAAAGCCAGTGGATCATCAACTGATTGTCACCATGACAGAGGCATCTCATTGAATGATGCACCATGACATTGCCGTCTCAAGTAATATATGCCTATAGAACTCCAACTAAGGTAAGTAAATCTCTATTACATATGTCTGACACTGTATCACTCTATTTAAGACCATTAGAATCGCTATACTTAAATTCTGCAGACTGAAATGGCAGATCTCAAATGCAATTTACTCTGTACTAAATTTGCTACTAACTGCATCACTCACTTTTTGAATAAGGGTACCTTATACAATTAAAAATACATTCCTTTTCTTCAGTTACACTACTAATGGTCACAGAACATCTATCTCACAAGAGAAGTACATGATTCAAGGACAATGACTGTCATCAGAGAGCATATCACAGAAGCAATAATTTCCACTTTCACTTTCCACCTGTAGATTTCCTCTCCACAAAGACAAAAGCTCACTCTCTATTGTGTCACTTTTGTGTGTTTTTTCAACTAACCTGAGCTTTGGGAAGACCAGCTAGCTGCTTCTTCTTCACGAGTTTTGAGGGAAAGGCTGCACGTTTTGATTACTTTTCCATAGAGTACAAAACAAGTAAAGTATAACTGACAATAATCTTTCCGGGCCCCGAGTGTAGTCCTCTGCCAATGTACCACTGACTAGTCCCTATTCCTTCTCGTATCTTCCCTCGTATATGTCACTCCCAAACTAAGCCACAAGGAGAAGCTCAACTCTACCTCGGTATCTCGGCGACAGGAATGAGGGAAAGTGGAAGGCTCGTACTGGTGTCAGGACAAATCAAGCCCGAGGCGAGTTCATGTCCGCCCAGGTTGTTGACGTCGCGAAGGTCGCTTTAACTACTGATCCGCGAGCCACGTTGGCAGCCGGGCCACCGGGCTTTCTTATTTTCTGATTTATGGCCTCTCTGTGCACCTGTGGGGTACTTGGTGACGTGAGCATAACCTGGCTAGAGCCTCTGTGTCCTATTGTCACGTAGAAATGGAATGGGGAAGTCTTGTTGTCTTTTAATGCTG